TCATGGGAAAGACGATTAGTAGCACTTACTGGGGAAGAATATAAGGTGGCATCATCTAGAAAACTATAGTTTGGATGTGCAAAGGAGCTTCCAGAGGCTCAAATTGAAATGAGCACGGCTGAGGAAGTTCTCACAGGGGATGCATTGAATGTATCAGAGCCCGAGTCCTTAGGTTCACAGTCTTCGGAAGGTATAGCGTCTTACTTTAAAAGTAGCTACCTGGAACAGCTTGCCGCGAGTGAATCCGATGACCTTTTGTGTCGTATTGAAAAGGCCGCAGAGCATAGTTTAGGGCTTGAACATGGAAAGAATAATGGAAATTTATACCATGTGTGCTCTGGCCCCCAGTGCTCCAGATTAATGCAGGAAGAGCTCCCAGAGTGTTTTCGTGTTGTTTCACAGCAAAGAACTTGTGGCGATGAAGCTGTTGGAACGGCTCTGGAAGATATTCACAGGTTTGTATTTGAGAAGAGTCAGAGGAACATGGAGACTTTGTCACCTGAACTTCTTTCATCTTGTGATTTGGCGGTGAAAAAGGTGGGGGGACAACTGGGTAAAAGAAACCCATTGGGCATAGCACATCTACCCATGGGAGTGGCCATTGTTGAGATGATTGCACGCCTAACTCGAATTTTATTCTGGGGTATCACTGCATGTTCCGAGATGTCTTTGCCACGTAAACTGAAGATGATTGAGGAAGACGGAGAAGAATTGGAGGAGGTACTTCTGCCGCGTTTTTTCTTGAAGCTCTCGGTGAGTCCCATCATTCTGCGAGATGTATTAATGAAAGCCCCTTGGGATGTCTTTTCGCGTCTCTATGGCACAGAGAGCGCCCTCCCAGGGGAAGTCAGAGAGTGTGTCCCTGTGGAAGTCAGATCTGTTCTCAGCAGTCTTAAGGTGAATTTTGGATGTGAATTTCTTTTTCATATTTGTTTTCCGGTAGATTTGGCAGGCTCGCATCGGGAGGCGGTCACCACTGCCGCCGAGGCCATCGCTTCTCATATGGCCACTGCATTTAATTTGGGCGGTGGTCTCTCAGCGGCTGTGGAGGCAGATTGCGACAATAAAAATATTGGAGACAACACAAATCATCATTTGTTTTGCGATAAACGTTGTACACGTTCTTCCCTTCTCGGCAGGAGCACTTCCCGTTCCGAGTCTTGGGATTTTAAGGCGTGTCGAAAACCCCTTTTGTCGTCGGGGGAACGGTCGCAATTTACGCAATTTATTCATTCCCGCCACTGTTTGCCTGCTTACAAGCTAACTAGAAGAAGGTCGGGAATACTGCCGGGGCCAGGGGCGGTTATTGAGTGTGCAGATGACCTCATCAATGGAGCCGGTCATTATTCCCCTGCTACTGAGGAAAGCCACGTCTCCTCAGAGGAGCACGACGGCGAGACAGAAGTGTTGGCATCAGAAACCCCAGTAAAGAAAAGGGCGCGAGCCGAAAAAGGAGTTGTGCCACCATCGCCTTTGCGTCCCACTCGCGAATAAATGGCGTTCTTTCTTGACTCCTGGCTGACGGAGTCGAAATGATGGCGGTTGTAATGTTTCCTTTATTTTTTTTTGCTTCCTCCTCTCTGAGGGGTGGAGATGTTTCACTTCTCTAGAACGACCGCCTTGGTTTTCGTTGTGTACCGTATATATATGTACACTCTTTGCATTTGCGCAACTCCGTCACTTTTTCTTTTTTCTTCTTCCCTTCTCTTTAGTTGCTATCTGTTTGATAGGAACTGCACGTCTAAAGAGGTGAAGGACTGCGGAAAAATGGACATGCGTGGACTGGCTCACTTTATACAAGACGTGCGGAAAGCGACGAGTAGCCCGGCTGATGAGAAGAAACGAGTTGACGTGGAATTAGTTAAGATGCACTCAAAATTCCGAAGCTCGGCAGAAATGACCACTTAAGATCGAAGAAAATACGTCTTTAAGTTGATGTTCATCGCAATGCTTGGATACCCCGTGGAATTTGGCCATATGGAGGGCGTGAAGCTTCTGGCTCTAAAATCCCCGGCGGAGAAACTGATCGGCTACCTCTCTGCCACCGTTTTCCTCCACGAAAATCATTCCCTGTTGACTTTGGCTACACATATGATCTACAAGGATCTTCTGTCAGAGCAGGAGTTTAATATAAACTTGGCACTGACAGCGATTGCCAACGCGGGTGGGAAGGACTTTGCGGAATTCATGTCTTCAAGGGTGAAGAGCATTCTTTTAAGTGATCGTTGGAATGTACATGTTCGCAAGAAGGCAGTGCTGACGTACTTACGCATATATAGAAAGTATCCCGATGTTGTGGACCTTGGTGACGTTATCCCTGTTGTGACAGATCTTCTTCTTAGTCCACTGCTTGGTATGAGTGGTTGTGCTGCCGTCTTTCTTACGGGTTGTCTTAACAAAAGCAATTTTCATCTTTTCCATTTCCGTACCCAGTCGAGTCATTGAACTCCTTGGAAGGATTATACTTGAAAAGCAAACTGATCCGGGATATGTCTACTACGGTGTTCCTGCTCCGTGGTTGCAGGCGATGTCCATGCGGCTTCTTCGAGGCTTTCCAGTTCCTACAGATAATTTGCTGAAGGAAAAAATTCTTCTTGTCTTGCGGCGGATTGTGCAGGCGACTGACAGAGTGCTTCGGGACGCGCAAACCCAACAGAGGCAAAAGGGCACTATGAATCGTGTGAGTGCAATGAATGCCGTATTTTCTGAGGTGGTTTTACTTGTTCTCCAGTGGGATTTGGACACTATGCTTAATAATGAGTGTCTGGATGTTCTTAGCGGGTTTGTGATGGAAAAGAAAGATTCCAACTTGCGTTATTTGGGGTTTAGTTTGCTGTCACAATTGTGTTCTGCAAGGAGCTCCTACAATGACTACAGGACATACTGTAGACAGTATCAACCACAGGTGGTTGTGGCTCTTCATGACCCTGACGTTTCCATCCGTACGAAAGCGTTGGATGTCACTGTGTGTATGTGTGACGCTGAGACTTCCAGGGAGGGTATCGGGGCCCTGCTTTCTTATCTCCCCATTGCGGATGGACTCTTTAAGGAGAATCTTGTACTTGCTATTTCTCACTTGGCAGAGGTGTAGTGTGTCGACTACGGGTGGTACGTTGACACCATTCTCTCTGTCATCGCCCACACCGGCAGTCTTACCCCGCAATTCATCATTTACCGTGTTGTAAATGTTATCATTAATCACAAATATGTTCAGAAAAGGGCGGCCACAACTTTGTTTAGTTTGTTGAAGATTCGTAAGACTGTCCCTGAGGTCCTGTTGCGTGTCGCCGCCATTGTTTTGGGCGAAATTGGGTATCAAATTGCAGTGAATGCGGAAAGCACACCACTCATGCAGGTGACTGTTCTTCAAAACCACCTTAAAGACGCCTCGGAGGAGACCCAAAGTCCCCCGTTAAGTACGTTTGTCAAGCTTTACAATTACTACGATATTGCGGTGCGTGAAAAAATACTGAATACACTTTGTCAGTATAGAAGCAGTTTCAATGTTGAGCTGCAGCAACGCGCCATGGAGTACGTCGGGCTCATCGAACTAGGCAATGATGAACTCCTCCAGAAGGTGTTGGAGCCATTGCCGAGCTTCAAGGAAGATGATTTTTCGCTTGTGCTACCTGGGCGCGCCCAGCGAGAGGAAGCGAATGTTGCCGTGTCTTTGAACATCTCTCGGGATAAAAGAGAGAAGTTGGTCGCCCCAAGGGCAGACAAGGGGCCTGATAAATTGAACAGCTCTGATCTCCTGGTGATCAATCGCGATGTCCCCTTAAATTCCGGTGGTGAGTCCGATGTGGACTTGGAGGCGTTGTTTACGGTCAATTCAACGATGCAATTGGATAGAATGGCAAAGGAAAATGAACTGTTACGGCGACGGTTTATTTTTCTGCTTGAAGAACCGTCTGGTGTCCTTTATTCCGATGAGTTTGTAGAATTGCACTGTGAGCAGCAGTACCGCGGAGCCGATGCCCGTGTCACAGTCACAGTTAGAAAAAAGATGGCAGTGGGACTGGAGAAAGTACATGTGGAGACCACTGGAGTAGATGTTGGGCTGCTGTTGCAGTCAAGGAATGAACGCGGGGATATCGCCTCTAGTGGGGTTCTACGAGTGGAATTTGTTGCCAGGTCTTGGGCACCATTTAGGGAGGCCCCTACTGTACGCCTCTCCTACAAGAGGCCGGGAGAATGCACCACGGGGACGAAGATTCTTGCCCTGCCCATTGTGACCACACGGTTCTTGTCTCCGTACGATGAGAAGGATGAAATGGCGTACGACACGCTGTGCAAGCAAATGAATTCTGCTTCAGTTCGGACCCGACGCCTATCCGCAGGATGTGTCACTCACAATGGAGCAATTGAAGGGGTATTAAAAGGGATGGGATTCTGTGTAATTCATCCTGTTGATAGCGCGGAATGGAAAGCCATGGCAGCCCATGCCACGCAATCTCATGGCATTTTGTCTTACGAGCCTGCGGTGGTGAAGGTATTTAGTCACTCCCCCGGGGCTTTTACCGCCCAAGTCATTACCAAGAGTCATGTACTCAGCGCTGCCATAAGTGTTGTTTTGGGGCAAACTTTGCCTAGCAAGGGGCAAACAGAGTGTCAAGAGAGGTTCAGTGTTTTTGGAGGGAATTTAACCCCTTTACTCTCAAGAATTATCTGTTTTTTTTTTTTTTTTGTATCTCTCTTTCCCACACTTTTTCGTTTCACGAGCACTGTTACGCCTTATTGCTTTTTACGCTCCTACGGTTGACTGCCTCTTTCTTGTCTCTTCCCTTTTTATGGTTTTTTGCGCCCTAATTTACGTCCACTGCATGTATGGACGGCAATCCCGAACACATCTTGATATTTACACGGATATATGCGCACATCTTTTCACGTGCTAGTGGATATTGCTGCACCCCACTCTCTTCTTTTCTCTTGCTTTTTCCTTTTTCCCACTTTGTGTGCGGACCAGCTCACCGAATTCAGCAACGCTACTACTACCAATAATGATGATGCGCCGTGTGCCGTGCACCGTGTTGTTCCTTGTGCTCTTGTGCTGCCTCTGCTCGCACGTATACGCGACAGATGATGATGATGGCATGGTGCGTGTGAGTGCGGAAGTGTTGTGTAGGAGCAAAAATGCCAGTTCACTTTGGCGCTTAACAGGCGAGCGTGAGTGGAAAGTTTGTGGTCCTGATAAGAATCCCGGCAGTCAAGTTGCAATGGACGAGGAGGATCCCTATGAGATGGTCTGCAATGTGGCGAGACCGAGCTGCATGGATTTCAATGCCACGAGTAATTGCAGAAATGAGGAGGAATTCACCTTCAATATTCAGCTGCTGACGAGCAACACCACCGATCTGTACAAGCGATGGGAAAGTATCCATGCTGATGCGGACAACACACGTTCTGTCAACACCAGAAATGAATCCACCGCTGTGTCCTCACCGGCCGACAACACCGGCACGCAAAGTGAAGGCAATGCGGACAGCAGCGACATCATCACCGTGCCGGTGCACACACCACCGTTGCTGCTGCTGCTGCTGCTGGTGACTGCCACTGCCACCGCGTGCTGAGGTGTAAGCGTCATGGCAGAGATGTTCCATACCCTGTGGGTTCTCATTGTGCTTGATTCCCTTGTGGGCCAAACTCTCGCCTGCTCCCGAGGGCTTTTTTTCTTTGCATTCTTTCTCTCTTTTTTTTCTTTTTTTTTCTTTTTTTTCCTTTTTTTTTCTTTTTTTTTCTTTTTTTTCTTTTTTTTTTTTCCTTTTTTTTTCTTTTTTTTTTTTTTTGTCTCCCGGGAGTTCTTCTGGACTTTCAACTTTCTTTTTTTAATTTTTTGTTGCTTTTCTCATATTTTAGTGTTTTTGTTTTTTTGCAAATCATTTCCCTCCTTTTGCTTGTTGCTTTAGGGCAATCACTAAAGAAGTGATTTTTTCTTTTCTACTCTTCCCTCTTTAATTGTTTCTTCTGCACTCTTCCTGCGAGGGGTGCCGTGTGTTTCCCGCCCAACTGCTCCACTCGCACACCCACCGACACGCTCATGACGACGGCCCTGTGCGCCTCGCCTGCTGCACGCATGAGGAGGGGCCGCGACGAACGGCGCGCTGAGGGAGCCGTGACGTGTGGGCGTGCGGCGAGGGCCTGTGGGGCGGCGCACACATTTCCTTCCCTCTTGTTTTGTTTTGTTTTTATGCGGCCAGGGCTGGCAGACACCCGCAGCGCCACACACACAGCCGCACCCTGCCGCCGTGTTTTTTCTTTTTGTTTCTTTTCTGTGGTTGGGCGTGTGCTGCCACCGTGCGTGATTTTTGATGTTGGGGCCGTGCCGCATGCATCGCTGCCATCCAGCTGTGCCTCTTGCTGTTTTGATGTGCCTCCCTGTGCTTCTTTTTTTCTCTGCTTTTTCAGCGCACACGCACACAGAAATAACTAGTAGCACGGTGCTCTGAAAGAATTTGTTGGCGACGGCGTGACGCCTTTTTGTATTCCGCTTGGGGCCGGCTGACGCGGCTGCACGATGCCCGCCATGCGTGAGGGCGCTGCCTGCTCTTGGGGTCATTCTTCTCTTCCCCTCTGTATTTGCGTTGCTCGGTATACTGACGCGTGACGGAAGGTGCCACGATGGCCTCCTCCGGCGATGACAGTCGCTGCGTTCTCGGCGCACATCCACGCACTCTTCCTTGTCTCACTGTGGGAGTGATTGCGGCAGGGCATTGCTGCGAGCGTGATGGGGACCACGACGGCGTCACCCCTCGAGAAGGTCCCGCGCTCTGTCGGTTGTGGAGCGGCGAGCCGGTTTGCCTGCAGCCCGACTGACAGAACCGCACAGTCGTTTCATTGCTGTCACTCCGTCGGCATCACCCGCTTCGGTGGTGTCCGCAAGAGCCGCAGCCCCGATGAGGATGGCCTCGTAGTTATCTGGCAGCTCGGAACTTCAGGTCCTTCGCCCCTCAGGATTGCCCTTGCTGCTCGACTGGCGCAGCACCGGCCTGGCATGGTTCTTATGCAGGAGTGCAGGCACGAGAGTGCCCCAGCGACGAGGCTCGTTGGCTGCGGTGACTTCCACCAGACCTGCAGTGGGCGTGCCGGTGGCGTGGCCTTCTTGGTGCGCCACACCTTGCCGTGCGAGTGCCTGTCGCTGCTGGCACAAACTGCGTGGAGACCACCGCCTTCCGCGTGTGCCCACCGGCCAGCCCCAGCATGTACGTGGTGAACCTCTGCAGTCTTCCCGGCAATGGCTCACACTGGTCACTTTGCGAGCACCATTCTTCGTCTCGGTCCCGCAGCGGCTATTTGCGATATGAATTCACACCATGAGCTGCGGAACGGTCGCCCCCCATCAACGACGGCATGAGAGGACTTCGCCGCCACCCCAAGCGGCATGGAGATTGGGCTGTCCGACGACCCGGCACAAGCAGCGCGTATTAGCGGCCGCCACATATTGTTTCCCGACGTGACTGCGCAACGCGTACTGCGTGTCTCTCACTGGACGTCCACCCGTTTACATGGATTCGGACCACCATCTGCCATCACACACTGCAGGGACGGAGGACGGCATCCCGCGACAGGCAGGCATGCTGCCACGACGAGAACATGCCGTCGTTGTCATGCGTAAAGCCGACTGGAATGCTTCCACCTCGGCGTGCGCAACACCTCTGGCCTCTGTGACCGCACGCTGGTTGCCTTGGGTGCAGACATCCGTGCCTGTGGTGCGGCAATGCCAGCTGCCGTGTCCGTTGTGGCCACATGGGCTGCCGAGCACTGCCTGAGGATCAGCGCCGACAGGGGCGGGGCCGCTCTGTTCTGCATCGTTTCACGCTGACGGTCTGACGAGGACACGGCCGACCATCGTCTGGGTGGTGGGAAGCCACGCGTCAAGTCCCACCCCGTGCGCCTGCTCGGCAGTGCGATTGATCGACACCTCAATTTTGGTGTGCACGTCGTCGCCGCTGCAGAGCAGTTTGCGCCACGCCGCCATCAGCTGCGGCTGGGTGCAGAGGCTGGGGCGTTCCAGCACACCATGCGGTCCTTCTGGTCGGGTGCGTCCACAGTGCGTTGCACCACGGTGTCGAGGCGACCGCTCCGTGTCCGGTCCCCACTCACCTCCACAGCCTGGAAGTGCGGCACCGCGACAGTTGCACTGCATCTCTTGGCCCACGCACATCAACGAAGGATACCTCTGTCCACCTGGCCGCCAATCTAGCACCGTTGCGGAGGATTGTTGGGTTCCGCGCACCCACACCGCACGAACGCCTCACATTTCATTGGTATATTGAGGAAGTGCGTGGCGCAATCTGCTTGGAAACCATGCTTTAGTCGATAAATGGGAATGCAACGACGAGTATTCCGCTGCCGAGAGATGCCGTACTCGACGAAATGCGACGCGTCTGTAGCCACATGAGGATCTTCCCGCACCACATCCGCGCCCCTCATGCTGAGCCCCGGATTTTCTTCTGCGACAATGTGAGCTGCAGCGGGGTGGGCGTCCTCCAGCCACGGCACGCCCAAGACGCCCCGGACGGTGTCAGACGATCGGCCGTTGAAGCGGCCTGCGCCTCTCTGGGACCATATGACCCAGGCCGCTGGACGGACGGCTTTTCGTCTCTCGCTGAGCATGCGTCTGGATCCGCTGCGCTGCCACTTGACTCCCCGGATAGCCGCGCTCCCTGTAGGCCTCACCGCGCAGCTGCTGGCAGCCTTGCATGCTCCTGCCGAGCGGAGTGTCCTGCCACTGAGCATGGCCACAGACAGTTTTCAGTTCCCCGCCTGGCAGCAGCATCCCAATCGCCCACACGAGTTCCTGTCGCCACAGAGTCCCTCTCGGCGATGGAGTCACTCCGCCTTGGCCCGCTGGCGGTGCACGACGACGTCGGCAAGAAGATTTGCACCGCGCCGCATTCACTGGTGCATCGAGGTCGCACTGCTGGCTTTACATTTCCCCATGACACTGCGGAATCCTACGCAGCGTGACAGCGGACGCTGATGCCGTCATGGCATGATTCCTCCCGCAGGACTGCGTCACTGCCTGGCACGTGGGCTTCCTCACTCCACTCGGACCAACGTACTATAAGGACGCCCAGAGGGCACAGGAAGAAATGCACACCGCGTGACAGTCACTTGTCGGTCTGGCAGGGACTGTAATCCTGTTTCCGATCCGGAAATTGTGCCCCGAATGGCGTCTCTGCGCACAGGCGCGATGATACTCCTACCCACTCTTCGACAGGACCGCACGCGCCCTGCAGACCACAAGTAACCCTCTGTGTCGGTCGTGCCGCCCATCCCTCACCAACAAGAGCGGCTGCTGCACCATACGCTGTGGTCTAAATTTTTGTTTCCAATTATGAATGGTGGTGGTCAGAGACACTCTCTTTCAATGTCTGTTTGCGTGTTCACACACTGGACGCCAAACAACCCTGAATTATCCGCTGCTTGGAGGAATGTCGCGAGCTCCTGCCCACAGGGGTGCTGCACTCGGCTGATCGTTTTCGAGCGGCTGCTGCATCACACGCTGTGGTCTAGATTTTTGTAGGAGCTTTGGAAAAGAATGATCGCGGGAGAGCTGGCTAACTTAATTAATGTATTTATATCCTTATAAATGAATGCATTCTTTATTATACTTTCTGCCGCATGAATCTTTTGGGAAGAATGCCACTTTGTAGGTGCAGGGAACCGATAGAGGCCAGATAATATTTGTTTTTATCTTTTACAGACACAGCCAGGTAAGTTTAAGGAAATGGCATTGGTTCCCTACACACCCTCCGAGTGGTGTGATATTGGCGCCCGTCTCTGGGAAATGGTGTGCCAATGTGGCGAGACCCAGGTGCAGTTGACGTTTATTAATGGTAACCAGATGTCGGATGAGACGTTAACTGTGGCCGCATCATCGGCAGGCTTATGCCTGTTCCATGGACCTGTCTCTAAAGCATGGCAGGATTCTACTATCATTGGACATATTGCGAACCTACGGGCGCCTCAGATCCCTAATTTTGAGACAAAAGCGCTCCTGCCCGCTATGGGGGGCATTCCGGGAGTTGGGGCACCAACAAGGGCTCATCACTGCTGAAAGGGAGCGCCTGAATTTTGATTACGCGAACGCCGTCGCGGACGTGCAGAATCGAAATGCTCAGCTTAACTCGCAGTTTCAGGAGGCGCATCACAACCTATCGGTAAGGGAATCCACTATCGCCGGGGCCGGCAACCAGGTCCTAGAACTACAACAGCAGTTGGAGGCCGCTCGCGCCCAATTACGGGAGCGCGAATTCAACTTGGGAGTCCTCACTGGTCAATTCCAGGAACGGGAGGCACGCCTTAGCGCACTACAAACTGCGCGGGATGCGGAGACGGCGGTGCGGGACGAGTCCCCCGCTACTCGACACGTTGCCAACGATGGCGTAACTACACTACCGCATCAAACGGATATCTTGATGGCAGGAGGCATGCCTAGCAGTGCGGCCCGACGCAGTTCGGCGGCTTACAGGTCCCCTCACGGTAATGCTGCGAGACCACATTTCCACCCCTCCACGCCGTTGCCCTCCCGCACTTCTCCCCTGGACGCCCCATTACCCATGGAAGAGGACCGCAGTTTCTGCGCATTCGACGTCACTACGTGGCCCTCGCGTGTATGGAATGAGGGCGCCTCCGGAGTCATTATCGACCTCCGGTGTGCATACCAATGCTGGCAACAGGACAACGAGCAGGTTAAACTTGCCTTTGACAATTTGGTCGAGTGGATCAGCGCGCTGGAAGGCCTGCAGGATCCCACCGATCGAATCATGAATTTGGGGAGGTCCCTACTGAATACATTCCGGATGCAGCTCACAATCGCGTCCGATCCCGGCATCCGGCTTTCCAAACTGCGCGCCCGTCTACACACTGCTGTTCACCAGACGGACGCTTATGCCAGGGCTGCCCAGCTTTTCGTCGATCGGCGAGAAACCCAACGCACTGTGCGATGCCGACTATGTCATACCTATGGACACGATGCGTCTACATGCAATGTGCGTCCGAGAGGGAATTACTTACAATACAGGCGTCCATCAAAAAACGGCCGAGGGGCTGCCGCACGCCGCTCATGAATGCCGG